AATGTTAGTTTATAATAAAAATTGTGTTGATGAAAAAATCTGAATAGAATTAGATACTATTTTTTTCAGTTCATTGTTTTTTTAAATCCTTGTGACGAATTAACACGAGTGGTTCACTTAGAACCCGTTTTAAAAATAACGCCATTTTTCAAAGATACAAATTATTTATTTTTCAACGTTTTTACCCCTTCGAGGTAAACATACAAAGTAGGTATACTCCCAACAACCCTGCCATTTTTACAACCTCTCCAAAAAATACAAACTGCTCTGCTCTGCAAAATATACTTCAGTCTCCATGAAGATCTTTCCATTTGAATTTTTTTTTATCCTGCGAGCCGTTTCTTCAAGTTCGGGAACAAGTAGAAGTCGCAGAGAGCCTGGTCGGGTGAATATGGGGGTGGATGAGGGAGAATGTTCGCAGAAAGTTCATATGTCAATTTACAGCGGCATATGATGATTACAGCGACAGATGAATATATAGGTGCGATGTGGTGATAAATATCACTTTATTCTTTAGTAAATGAGGCCGATCCGTGTTCAATTTCTTGTCGATGCGATCCAATAACTCACTCTAGTATTGTTCGTTGATTGTTTCCCTTGTCCAATCATCAGTTCACCAGTATAATGCCCTTTGCATCCCAGAGAATCATTGCCTTCACTTTTTCCAGCTGATGGAATCGTCTTCGCCTTCTTCAGAGCAGATTCGCCAGAAGCAATCCATTGTTTTGAGAGTTGCTTTGTGACCGATGTAAAGTAATGAATCCAGGCCTCATCGACGGTGACAATTCGACGCAAAACGTCCCTTGCATTTCGCTTAAATTTCTCCAAACACAGCCTTCAAGATGAAAGCGTTGATGTTGAATTGAATTAATTTCTGCATTTACGTGACGAGACTTAGGCCATGAGGTCTGCTCTTCCGTCTGACCACGCAAATTTCGCTACGCCTCTTTCAACAACTAGCGGAAAAGGAGGTATTTCTTGCGTGACGACAATTTAATTCAGAGGCTTCATTTACGCATGAGGATCTTTTACATGCAGTAAATCTACTAAAATGGGATAGGTACGAAGGTAGGTATTCGGATTTTTAGCCCTTACAAATCCACGACTTCAATCGGGTTTAAACCAGCGAACTCTGGTATAGTAGCCCGATACGCTAACCGTTCCACCAATCCGCCACCGGGGTTCGCAGTTAGCAATCGCGGTACCTACCGCGGTACCCGCGGCCGACACCACCTTCATCGCCAGCTTTTCATGCGAAATGTTCATTACTGTTAACGTCGATACTCCAATGGCATCTGACATTTCTCACCCTTTCATTCGTCGATCATCTAAAATCATGTCACGGACATTTTTAACGCTTTCCTCCGTCATCTTTTCTGCTGGGTGTCTTGCACGCCCATCAAAAAACTTTTGTCGATCACTTTTCAATTCGTTGAACCAGATCTAACTGTAGTTATGGGCGGTGAAGGGTCTCCATAAATAGCTTCCATCTTCGCTTTTAATTCATCAGACGTTTTTCCATCCATACACTGAAAGCTAATCACTGAACGATACCACACTTTCTGCATATTCACAAAAACAACGTGTCACGACTTATTAAAATGGCTGCCAGAGCAAAAGAAACGAAAGATCCAGTATGAAACTTTTCCCGCTATCTACAATGACTGCACAAGATGATCACTACAAATCACTTTACTAACGTCATCTGTCCTCAAAGACAGGAAGTTTAATGAACCGCCTCCGTATATTTTTAATTCTAGTGATGTGTATACGTACCTCGTGCCATAAAAATAAAATTCAAATAAAAGGTAGTAGATAGTATACGCTAAAGTTCCTAGCAGTATTTCGAAAACATTGAAACAAAGGAGGGCTGACAGATGAAATGCAACGTCGCTCGAGCGCATATCGAATTAAGCAAAAGCTCTAGCGAGCTGCGTCTTAATATATTCCCTTTTTGAATCGCACACGCGGGCGTTGTTGTTTCGCATCTATTGTACTGACATTCGAATTCTGCGAATTACAACAGAATTATTCGTGAACCCGCATATGTGACCCCTTTCACATATTTATTTCCGCGCGTTCGTCCGCGAACGCTTGTTTGAAACTTGTATCATTTCAGCAACAACGAACGCCGCTCGCCGTCAATAAATTGAAATAGAACCCACACACACAAATCACAGAGCAACGTAGCGGGTGAGAACAATGGGAGGGCGAGAAAACTCGCGCCGGCGCGCGGGGCGGGACGGGGCGCAAGGCGGGCGTTCGTCATGGCGTCCGTCAGGCCGTCGGTCAGGCCGTCCGTCAGGCCGTCCGTCAGCCCTCCGCCGCCGCCGGGCCCAGCGCCCTGAGACAAAAGGGCGCGCCGCCCGCCAGCAGACGGACAGGCAGCGGCGCCGTTTGGCGCGGGGGCGGAGTACGCAGCGCTGCCAACAGCGCGGATCCGGGGGCGCGGTCGCCCTCCAGCTGTGGAGATGCGGACATGGATGCTCACGCGGTTAACTGCCTTCCATTGGGTTTGTGGCAACTTTCCACTTTCAACTCATTTTTTGTGGTTCAAACGAGCATCTTAAGGTTTGGAGCTACCCATCTTTCGCTGACACTTACTTAGGTATAGAAATACGCCACTTCCATACGAAGTAACCGAAGGCGAATAGTTGACAATCTTGCCAATAAGTTATCTCTGATTGCTATATCTCATTAATGGTTTTAAAAAACGTTAACAGTATTATTAAGAGTTATATAATAATATTTATATTAATTGAAAATCAAAAATTTTCAACTCAACGGACATACTTGCATTTTATTTTCACATTTCACAAAAGCCGAGTTGTAGGTCGTAGTGTTATTGTTATGAATAGCGGGTGGATTTTGATGACCTAAAACATCGCCAAAAATGATCAATAAAATGTTCTTAAAACACTTTAAAAATGCCCTAAAAACAAAGAAATATGACGTAATTTTTTTATCAACACTTCAGATGAACAACTAAAGCTGTTGGGTATGTTACTGAAGGTAATCGAGGCTTTTTCCGTTTGTTTAAGTAAACTCAGCTTGCAAACTTTGGGTTTGGACTATTTTTTAAAAGGAAATTTCTGCCTTTTTCTCGAAATCAACCTAACTGACAATGTTGCCGATAGGCGTCACAGGATTAGATTACCAGTACTCACAACGACTGGCATTACAATATATGAAATAGGCTTCTCAGACATCCTGTGGTGAACATTTGTTGCACCTCATAAATACTATTAGAAGCAAGAACCATTAAAATAATATTAAAA